CACAACTGCACCTCTGTGTCCCTAATAATGTCACCTTCCAAAACCCTTTCCCCAGATTCCTGGAATTGGCCTTTTGTTTGCTTCCTTTTTGATCAGACTGAAGATTATTGCCGCTAGTGGCCAGAGGTATATAATGGGTGTCCTTACTGGTCATGTAAGATTCACTATGAGGATCATTCATATAAAGCCTCTAATCAAGGTAAACTTTTCACAAGGCATGGCCCACATGGTATACCAGGAAGGTGGAATACACTAGACATACCTGACCTCAAGGCCAAATATTGGGGTTATGTTGAAATTGCTGTCTATGCTCAACAATTTGCAGTCAAACCCACAGGATGGATGACTGTTTCCTGCTCCCTGATAACGCCACCAGAGGCAACCATCCAAGTAGTCCAGCATATCAGGGAATCAGAATCAAAACTTTGAGATCTTATCCATAGCCCAACCAAAGGGGATGCAGAGCCTTCAACCCCCTTAGGCGCCCCTCCCACATGGCTTAATTTGCTGCATCAAATCCTTTGATTACTAAACTCCACAACTCTTTCTGTGCCCACTTCTCAGTGATTCCTCTGTGCTTCACTTAGTCATCCACTTCTAGCAGCAGTCCCATTAGCAGCAGGAAATATTTCAGCAAAAACCTATAATTTCTCTAAGAAAGGACAACCCCTACATGTGGCATGCATCCCACTGTGGGAAGGTTATTCCACCAATGCTTCATTCCCTTTCATCTGTTTCCACCTGTCAACAATGAATCCTTTACCCATTTGTTCCTTGAGCTATAGCACCCCATCGAGCCCTGCGTTTATGCAACCTGGACATTTCCTCTGGTGTAATAGGTCTTTAAGTACCTCAATGACCAATGTCTCTGGCACCTGTTTCTTGATTACTGTAGTTCCTCAGCTGTCTTTGTATACTCCCACTGAATTCTGACAATTGGCCCTACCTTCCCGCACCCGTAGGGCAGTCTTTCTGCCTGTTCTTGTAGGCCTCACTTTAACAACCTCAGTGGCGAGTCTTGGACTCGCTGGTGAAGCTATAGGTCATGCTCTATGGGCATCCAACGACTTTCTTTCTTTCTTTCTTTTTTTTTTTAAAGAAAGAGTGAGAGAGGAGAGAGAGAGAGAATTTTTAATATTTATTTATTTTTTTAGTTCTCAGCGGACACAACATCTCTGTTGGTATGTGGTGCTGAGGATCGAACCCGGGCCGCACGCATGCAAGGCGAGCGCGCTACCGCTTGAGCCACATCCCCAGCCCCATCCAACGACTTTCAACAAAAACTGCAAGAAGCGCTCAATACCACTGCTGAATCTCTGGGCTCCTTGCAGCGGCAGG